TACCTGTAGTAAAATATCACTGATAATTTTTTCGATGCCAGATCAATTAATGAATATCTTCCACATTTGACTTTTTGAATATCTTCCACATTGGCTGACTTTTCCGTTTTCTTACATGACTTTGCAGACATGATGAAAGCTTGAATGATGAATGCAAAGCAAGGCAGCTCGTATATATTTTTTCAGGTCTGGGGCTCCTGAAACAATTTTTACAACCAATATTATAAAGGAGTATTGTTATGGTTGTTGCTAAGGAGAATCCAAAGATCTCCTTCACTTAAAATCTAAGATAAAGACGTTATTATGAAACAAATTAACGCAATTTCACAAAAGATGCTGAAATTAGTATTCTTTGATTTAAAAAAAAGTGAAAAAATGTTAAGGGCATGTTTTTGGACATTTCTTAATAGGGTTCCTACCTTAAAGGAGAACTTACACGCAAAAATATCCTACCTTGAGGGAGAACTGATACACAAAAATAACTTTGGCTTATTCGATGCAGAATGTGTGGCTGACTTAAAATCAGCTAAAATTACCATTTTAGATTTACCATTTTTCTGATATTTGCACTTTTATCCATCAATTAATCACAGCCTGGATTCTGAAATTTCTTGAAGCGGAAACAAGCATATTGTCAGAAGTTGTTAGAATTCTTGATTGTCGTCGCAAGTCAGTCTGCAGAGCATGACAGAACTCGATGAGATCTCATGCAGGTAGCTCAAAATTTCCGGCATGCAGTGCGTGCACACCTGATTTTTTTGCATTTTGTGGGCGGTTTTTTATGTTACTGTAACATTCACATTTTTGAAGATTGTTGTTTTTGTTTGAAATATTTGAAATCTTGAAACGTACTTGAATCGCAGTCTGTATGCTATGTTTGACTATGAATTGCAGTATGAATGTGAATATGAATCGAAGTTAAGTCTGAATGGTACCTGGTAAGTCTTTTCATTAGACTTGGAAATGATGGAAATGATGGAGACGAAAGAAATATCAAGTAAAGGGAAGATATTTCTGTTTTGATCAGAGCCGCACTAAGGACTTTGGGGGCCCTGGGCTCACTGGTGTTATGGGCCCCTCCTAAGTATGCAAAGGTGCTGAGAGAAGATACTTGCAGACAGAATTAAAGAGGCATATGATCAATGGATTAGGTTAATATATAACTAAAAATAAACAAAACAGAACTACAGCAAATCTCGAAAAAGGCAAACAGAAAATTGATTTAACGAGTTGTAAAACAAGTAAATAGGTTCTAAAATTTGTGTTTTCTTGCCTTAGTAAGTGCAAATTTTCTACTAAGTTTTTGAACATCTAATTTTCTTAAAATATCCGTATTGGATGCCATCAAACACAGTGCGACGTTTCTTTCTTGTGACATTGTTGAACGAAACTGGTTCTTAACTCTTTTCATAAAGGAGAAGCTTCTTTCTCCAGAGGCAACACTGCAAGGCAATCTTAGACCCTGTTTACACGAGAGAAAATGGAACGGTTCCAAATGGAACCGTTCCAAAACTAGTACGGATAGGCCTTGCGTTTACACGGGAACTGTTGGAACCGTTCCAGTTTGGATCTGCTATCCGTGCTCTTTTGGCTCCGCTACAGAAACGGTTCCATTTGGAACCGTTCCGTTTGGCTCCCGTGTAAACGGGCAGAACCGCATGGAACCGAGCCAAAAGAGAACGGATAGGAATCGAGGCTACTATGCTATGAGATAGAGGCTAGTTGGAAATGATTTCTATGTTTGCTTTATTGCTGCGCGCCAAAAAAGAAGAGAAAAAAGTTGATTTGTTTACGATCTATTTCATACATACTTCACGATGAACCGATTAAAGAATACTGTAGCATCAATTTTCTCAATTTTATTGTCAGTTTTGGTAGCTAAAGTTGAAATTATCAGTACTTTGCGTCTCCTTCATAACTTACGACAGCGAAGAATTTTGAATATGATAACAAGCATCAACCAGCGTCAGAGTATTTTCAGGAATTTAATGGCGATGAAGAATGCTCGCAGAAATCCAAAAAGAAGGTTCTGGATCAGGCCAGGGCGAACGGATGGTTGGTGGCAAAACTTTGTAGACAATGTTGTTGTACCAGAAGAATGGAGAGAGAACTTTCGCATGAGTAAGAACAGTTTTCTTCTACTGTGTAACAAGCTAAGGCCTTTTTTGGAAAAACAAACTACAAATATGCGCCAGTCTATATCTGTAGAAAAACAACTAGCAGTCACATTATATTACTTGGCCGACGAGGGCAGATATAGAAAAGTTGCTAATGCTTTTGGCATTTCAAGATCAGCTGTTTCAAAAGTGGTTAGAAAAGTATGCCATGTTATAACAAATGAACTAGGACCAACATACATCAAGACACCTCAAACTGAAGATGAAGTACAGTTTCTTACTGAAAATTTCTATATGCATCATGGTTTTCCTCAATGTTTGGGTGCAGTAGATGGAACCCATGTATTTATTCGTCAGCCTTCAAAAAACCCAACTGACTTTTTAAACAGAAAAAACAGATATTCCTTGAATGTCCAGGCAACCTGTGACTATCGGTATTGCTTTATAGATGTTGTAGTAAAATGGCCTGGTTGTGTGCATGATGCACGAATCTTTGCTAATTCTGCAATAAACAAAATGTTACAAAATGGTGATATTCCACCATGTCAGAAAGAAATCGTTGAAGGTCATGACAGTGTCCCTGTCTGTCTCCTTGGTGACCCAGCATATCCACTTCAGCCATATCTCATCAAAGAATATGCCAATGGAGGTAAAACAATTGATGAGCAATTTTTTTGTCATCGTCTCTCGTCTGCAAGAATGGTAATCGAATGTGCTTTTGGCAGACTCAAAGCAAGATTTGGAGCACTACGTCGAGAAATGGACATATGTCAGACCAGTCTGTCAGATGTGATATACAGCTGCTTTGTACTACACAATTTTTGTGAACTTCATAAAGAAAGAGTGCCTGAGGAACACATAAAAGCTGCTATGAATTATGATAGAGATTTTCAGCCAAACTCTAGTGGAAAAAGAAACAATTCAGGAGAATCAGAAGGCAAAAAAGTCAGAGACATCTTCAAATTATACTTTAACAACAACTGACATTTTAAAAACTTTCCAATTATTAACGTTTAAACATTTCATCCCAAAAACAGTTTATCTTAGTTTTAATGATACAGTTTGTTATGTTGATTTCCATTATTTCTAACCAAGTTAATTTTGTTTAGAGTTAAAAATCAGTTGAATCAATATAATATGATACTTCTTAATTAAGAAAGCTTGTTTGAGTTTCTACAATAGTGTGCTAGTATGGAAAAATTGTAAGTAAAATAGTTTTTCGAGTTACAAATCAGTATAATGTGGCTCTGAACTGTCTTCATTTCTGTTAGTGCTTCGATTGTACATTATGTTTTGCAACTGGTTCCCATTTCCTTGCCCTTGGTAGTAATTGGGTGCTGGATAAAACTCTTGCATTGGCTGAAACATCATTTGCATCATTTTAAAGCCTTCTGACATTGTCTTATTCAAATCTTCTGAAAGTTGCCTAATTGTTGAAGAGAACTGTTTCTCAGAGGACTCAAATTGAGCAACAAGCTTCTTTTTCAATTCTATGTCTTCCTTTCTCATCTCAGCCTCTTCTGTTGCAAAATTTAAAATCTTCTCTTGGAAAGTAGTCTTCTTGATTGACTTGGAATTTCGGCGGTCTTTTAACAAATTTGCAAGTTCTTCTCTCCTAAGCTTCATTTTCTTTTTTAATGGTTCACAGGATATTGGTGAATCTTCGTCAATGTAATCAATATTCTCTTCATTGTTGCCAGCAATACTTGATCCCTGAGAATCCACTTCTATAGGAGAATTCTCCTCTGCCAATATTTCTTCATCATTTGCGGGATTATTTACGCCTGTTCTTTCAAAACCTCCATCAATGCTTGTTGCTGCTGGGCATCCAGCCCATATTTCAGAACACTCCTGGTAAAGAGAAGACACTATTCTGCCACCACCACTTTTTCGCCCACTGTCGAGTGCTTTTCTGAAACTATTTTTCATTTTTTTCAGTTTCGAAGAAACTTTAGAAGCGGAAAATTCTTCTTTGGTTTCTCCTCTTGGAAATTCATCAGTAACTTCATCTGGATAGGCCTCTTGTAAACGGCATGCCAAGTCTTCGTACTTGGAGCGAATGGTTTCCCAGTCCTGTCCAGCTGCATATTTGGCTGTTTTGTAGTCCAAGACAATTTTCAACAATAGTGCAGTTTCTTCTTCTGTCCAAACGAAAAGTTTCTTGGTAATGTTTGTTGCTGCCATGTTGATAAAAATTGTCGTAATCGAGTCGAATGATGCGATTTACAAGTTTTGGCGCCAATCGAACAGAAGGAATTACTGCGCATGCTCTCCCTCCTCTGAAGCAATTTCTGGAACGGTTCCAGGATGCCCGTGTAAACGCAAGCAGAAAAAATTTGGAACCGTTCCAAATGGAACCGTTCCATTTTCTCTCGTGTAAACAGGGTCTTAACAATAGCCTCAAAGCGATCATAACATTGGGAAATGTTGCTTGGGTATTGTTATTCCTGACAAGATTAAGTAAAAACTGCCCAGTTGATATTTCTTTAAGCTCTTGCTCTTTCATTCCTTTCCCTCTGCTGACTCTTTCTTTCTCTTGCGCTTGTTTTTTACATTCTCTCACTTTGGTTATGTATTTCTGAAGTGGTTCCTTAGCATAATTGAAAAATTGCATCATTTCGTGCTCCATATCATCATCAAAGTGCCCTGGATATGCATGTGTAAAGGCCTTGCACCCTTCTGATATTTCTTCTGTTCGTAGTGCAAAGATAAACCCAAATCTCTGTTCAATAACTTCATAGCTAGCTTTTCGCATGGCAAGTTTTGTTTGTAAGCTGTCGATGATGGGCAAATACGTGCCAATGTAAAATTTCTCTCCACCAACTAACTCCACTTCTTTTGTTGCACTTTCGTATGCCAGTCTCGGTCTTTTCTTTTTTCTCTTCATTCATCTTTGAATTGCTGTTCGGTGCTGTCTAGAAACGTTTGGGCCTTATCAAGATACCGTTGGTATTCTTCTCTATTTCGCATCACCGAAATGAATAGCTCAAGACTGTTCAATAGGTCGATTGCAGAAGGCATCGTCAGGCTCACTGTTTGAAGTGACAAGTTACTTATGCATATTCGCTTTAGAAGATCATCCCAAAACACAGCCATCAACGCAAACTCAAAAGATTCGAGTTTTTCTGATAAGGATGTTGCGTCATTTCTAGTGGACAATGTTTGATCTTCATCAAGTGCAATTTCATCCAGAGTTTCTTTTATAGAACGTGGTGCCAGAAATAATGCTCTTATAGCATCATGTCTTGCAGACCAGCGAGTATCACATATCTTTTTAACAACCAATTCGCTTTTGGAGAGCTTTGATTGCATAGTGTTCCAGCGATGCGTGGAGGCTGCTAAAAATGTATACACCTCTTGTACAGTTGAGAAAAAGGATACTGCTTGTAAGCAGCATTGGGCTGCAGCATTTCCCACTGAATTTAAGGAATGGCTTGTGCAGGGAACATAAAGGGCACATTTGTTAATTTCTTTTATTCTTGCCTGAACTCCAAAATATTTTCCAGACATGTTTGACGCATTGTCATAAGACTGACCGCAACAATATTTAATATCCAGATTTAACGAGTTCAATGTTTCAATGATAGCAGTTGTCAAAGATTCGCTTTTATGAGACTTTATTGGTGTAAAAGTGATAAATCTTTCCACCGGCTCTCCATCTTCGATATATCTTAGTACAAATGTTAGTTGATCAATGTGAGATACGTCCGAAGTAGAGTCCACAATTATCAAAAAGTATTTTGCGTTAGAAATTGATATCAGAATTAATTTTGTTACTTCAGATGATAGCATCAAAATTACTTCTTCCATGATTCTTTGTGACAAATATGAGGGTTTTCCAGTTCCTTTGTTACCATAGCGAGCAAGATGCCTGGCTAAAAATGGGTCAAATTTGGACAGTAATTCAATAATACCAAGAAATTTTCCGTTTTTTGGATGTCCAATAACATGCGAATCTCCACGAAATGCTAATCCTCGTTCAGCTAGAAATCTAACAGCCTCAATGACTCTAATAATAACACCTTTCCAACGTTCTTCTTCTTGTTGAAGAAGTTTGATATGTTGTGATTCAATTAACCACCCTTCCCCATTTGCAAATGCTGTACATAACTTCACGTTTTCGAAATGCGCGTCTGACCTCTCGTGTTGGGAAATTGATTCAGGATGCTTCCAATCATCAAATCCAGAGCTTGCTAAAGCTGTTGTGTTAGACCCTCCAAACAGTTTACAATAAAAGCAGAACACTTTGCCCGAACTTTGGGAATACAAAAGCCAATCTCTGTCAATCTCTTCAGCATTTGATAACTTTATCTTCAGCAAAGAAGCACTGAAGCACCTTGTTTTCATTTTGTTATCATTCACTTTGTATTGTCGACTTGACTTGAAAAATGATACATCTCTGTTTTGGCATTGTTTTGGTCCATGTACTGCACAGTAACGTTTCATTTCCAAGGAAATGAAAGTCCAGTAAGATGGATCGGTCTCGAATTCTGATACTGATTGCAAGACTTGCTTGTTGTCCACTTCATGTTCATTTACACTAGTGCCTTCTCTGGAATCGGCATTTCCATTTCCACCATGTGTTTCATCTGGATCAACTACGGCCTCATTAACAGAATTATCCGACGTATCATTGTTAAAACCTAGGCTAGTATCGTCTTTGTCTAATTTCTCACTAGATTGATTGGAATTCGATTCTCTTTGGGCATCTCTTGCTTCAGGTTTAAACCCAAAGGTTGATAGCTGTGGGATTGACTTCAAAACCTTTTCATTTGATGCTTCACGATCTTTTTTCAATTTCCTCTTTTTTGCTCCACTCGGATATCTTTCACTCATATTGAAAACGTAAAGTGTGCATGCAGACAAGCCAAAAATTAGTTTTCTCAAAAAGGAAGAGTCAGTGGCAAGTTTTGCTCGGCTTTGTGTTTGAACAATAAACAGGAAATATCTTTCTCAAGGGCTGAATAAAGCATAGAGTATTGACACATATTCTAATATCAGATTTTGAGAAGTATTGTTCACGAGATGAAGTGATACTACGCAAATAATATGTTTAATTAGTCAGGCTTGCCACCCTCATATGCCAACGCGTCGGCTGTGATACTCATTATGGACCGCATGATGTTTGCTTAGTTTCTTAAACTCCATTTCCACAACTATTTTAAAAATCCCTCAGAAAATTTGGGGCCCCAAACTGGTTGTGGGCCTGCGGCCCTGGTTTTTATCTCTGTGGTGTCACTGATGTGTTGAGCAAACTAATGGAAATGATGAAGACCAAATAACAATCTTTATATCGATTTATTTGGTCCATCACAAAGTGGTGGTCCCCACCCACCAAAGGTTTGCATGGGCAAGATGAATTGAAAGAATTTAAAGTCATAATGGAAGATTTAGAAATTGAAGAGACATACAAGTATATTTATGAGGATAAAGTTTGCACTGCAAGGCTTGATTATCCCTCAGTATTTTCAGCCCTTTACAGAAGTGAAGAGATTTCCTTGTTTGTTGAGAGAGAGTTGTGCATAGCCATTTACATTGCTATGGCCATGAGTAGCTCAGAAGCAGTAGTAGAATCGTATTATTCTGTCATAAAATCGCAGAAAAGGGATGGTGGACACAATAACAGGACATGGTGCTTTTCAAACCCTCTCCAGTGCCATAAAACATTAAATGAAGTAGCAGCGCTGTACCTTCATGGAAATGGAGAGGTTGGGCTGCCAAAACATCAGGTTCATCCTTGAAGATAGAGGTTACTTAAAGAGGATATGACACGAAAATGCAAAATTTTATTATAGATCAAATCCTTGATGCTGATTTCAAAAATTAAATCGAAAAATGATTATCTGCCCTACTTAAACCAGCCTTTGGCTAGTACGGACGACGAAAGCGATGATGGGCCTAGGCCTAATGACTGAGAATAACTGGAGGATGAAGATGGGATATCTCCAGAAACTTTTCGCGAAAGACAGACGGGGAACCTAAGTGTAGATCAATGGTGAGTGGTTTTTGTTTTCGCTGTTTTCTAAATAGTTCAAATTATCCACCCTTTCATGTCGGTACAACGATACAACTGCAGCTCTTTTTTAGGTGTGTGTGCGGCAAATGCTCAGCAGGGAACTTGGAAAGTGCCAGAGAGTACCGTTGCTGCCATGAAGTGGCACCTGCTTATGGAAAAGTCGTTTTTAACGGCGAATCTGATGAAATAAAGTGTGACCCTTCATGAAGACTAAAGGCCTTTTACAAATATAAATGTCCTTAGAAACGTTGGTCCATTGCTTCAGAAAAAGGATGGAGGCCCTACAAGAAAAGGGCAAATGTAACAGAAAATGAGTATGTACAAAGTTTAATTGTCAAGTTTAGGCTGAAATAGATAGCAAACAAATTTGATTCTTTTTGTTGATTCATAATTGATCTCTTTTAATGAAAGAAGTATGTGTAAATATATAATATAGTATATACTAGTATGCTAATTTATAATAATAAACTAACATTTTATACTGATATTACATATATTGCATAAATATATATATATAATAACTAAACTTTTGTTTCACAAAAAGCAGAAACGTTATAAAGAAAAATGTTTTAGAAAGACCATGGCAAAAGACAATTTATTATTTTTCTGGAACGTGTTTCGTCCTTTTAACGAGGAATCATCAGCCTATTTAAATATCTATGTGAGTTCTATGTTAATTTACTGTAAACATCTCTAATTTGAAGTTCATTTACTGAATACATATATATATCTAAATATCTGAATTTATATATACATATCTAAATATAGTATATAAATTTATATATGATATATATATATACACATATATATATTATTGGTATTTTTTTTCTGTATCAGGTATCTTCGTGCAGTTTCTTATCGCTGGTTAGCACGCTGGATATTTGGATACATGGGATGGGACAATACACGGCCTCTGCCTGCATGCATTTTTCATAACGTCCATGAAAAGTATATGTCTAACCAGAACATTGGATATAAAAATGCAGAAGAACGTAACTAAAAAACATAGATTATATTTATTCAATTAGCTTTTGTTATATTTAATTTCATGCAAGTGTATATAATTCTTTAAGTCATTCTTTGCATAAAGTCTTAGAATGTCCTTTCATCAATTGGCCACATTTTTTGCATGAAGGGGCCTTTCTTTTTGGCAAACGATTGATCATTTATCAGATTATCTTTATTAAATTAGTTTGTATTGATCATTTTCTGATAAGATAAACATTGATTATTAAATTTAGAATAAAAAATGGCAAAATTTTTCATCATACAGTTTTAATGATTAATCAACAAAACTTTAAATGAAAATGCAAATGAAACGTTATTTTCTGGCCTCTGTTTAAATTAAGTATATTACCTGAAGGGTATAGTGGTTGAAATAGTGTTCTCCTTTTTTATATTCTTTTACAGCCTCTTTCTTACTTTTTGTTCTTTCAAATCTGCTCACCAAGGATGCAGGCATTTAATCAGCATACCAAATCTGGCCAAGTTCTTCTTCGTTTGATTTAAATAAAAGTTCTTTTTTTATGCTCAACGTAATCTGTAATAATTTTTTTGAAAATATAAAAGCAATTATTTTGGATATTAAACATAATCTGAAATAATTTCTGTAAAAATGTATAAAACTAAAAGTTTATCTAATATATTCAAACTAATATCAGTTCTTGAAAACTACAATAGCATTTCTCATCTCCCATTTCTCAGGGCAAAATATGAATTGATTTTCTTTATATGGCAAGATTATGTAGATTGTATGTTGTATGCTGTCTACTCACTGTAAGATGGAGGGACTGGAACAGGTTTTACTGCTTCTTCGCCAAGTTTATATTTAGGATAAGAAACTTTGAAATATTCCTTTCCATTTTTGTCTTTTTGTGCTTCCCTGTGCAGGTTTTCGTTGAAATGTGAAACTGCCATTATATGCCTTGGAAAAAATATATCAGTTCTTTGTTGGGTATTTGGATACATTTTCTGTTTGATTCACAAATGAAATTTAGTTTTATTTTGTTGATACTGATGCAAATAAAAATTATACATTTATGTAATGTAGGCTGTGTTTTTGCTAGGAATGGCATTCAAATACTGTTGCACAATAGAAGTACAATTTACAGGAAGCAACAATATCCAAAATTTACATTTCAGTTATTTACTCCGTGTTGACAAATTTTCTCAGCAATTAATTTTCTCCAAAGATAGCTTGGCAGGTAGTAAAGATAGTATAGTGAAAAACAATACAATGCACAATGCTCAGTAATTTTTAATTAATGATTGGTATCTCTAGTCATAAGTACCTGCACAGAGAGCCAATCCAGGAGTAATGTGTCATCTTTGGGTGCCATTGGTTCAGTGTAGAGTGGTAACCCTCGAGACAGCTGGTTTGTGCATTTGATGACAGTTTTGCAATGTCTTGTAGAAGGCTTTGATTCATTAGAATTGGCTGGATCTTGTCATATGCAGTAGTTCCTGTTGAATTACATATATTTAATACTATTATTTTATGTTAGCTGTTAAGGAGAAGTATACGGGAAGTTTAACAATCAGCACAATTGTTTATTTTCTTAGGTTTCAAAATTGACGCAAGACCATTTAGGGATCTTTAATGAATGAGGTGTGCCTCTATTTAAAAAAACCATTAAATTATGAAAGGGGCTACATTTGTATAAAATGCAGTGATTTGACAAAATGATACAAACCATTGAGAATCCATCTACGTTTATGATCTAGTTCTCCATGTGCAAACCTCTGAAACAGTTTGTCTTCGTGGTTGTTGTGCTTGTTCTGGATGTGATTTGAGAAAGCCTTCCATTTTGCGACAATGAGTTTCCCAAAACCTTCCTTTGTCGATGTTGCACACCAGTAGAGGTGGTTGCGGATTGCTGAACACCAGGTACCCAATATCTCACAATTTCTCCTCTTGCTAGCTATTGTTACCTTCTTGGTTAAGGTGCGTGCAACATGCCAAATATCATAATAATGATGGACATGTGGTAAAGACTCCCTTATCCATTTGGCCACTCCTCTGTGTCTGTCTGATATAAAATTGGAGACCTCTATCCCGGCATCATTTAGGTAGCCTAAACATCGCTTAGCACCAAGCAACTCCATATTGGAACTACCTTTGCATTCATTTGAATATACAGGAAATAAAATAAAGAGGGTGAAAATGTACATCAGTTTAATTCAAAGTTGAAATTGATGTCAGGTTATTAAACACACAAATATGAAGATACAAGTTTATGGTTGATGACTTATAACAACAGTATTTAATTTTGTCTACAAATAGACACAAGACTTGATATTTGACCTTATTAATGATTTTTTAATGCTAGATATTTGATTCCATTTGAAAACAATCTTTTTTATTAACTTACTTTAAAAATTAAGTTTCTATCTGTTTGGCTTTTTTCATGTGGCATGTACCAAATCTTTCGAAATAAAGAAAGGAAATTGATAAGTTTGGGCTTTCTGTAACAAGTCACTTACAAATAAATTAGATTGATAGAAGAAATGGTTTATGAGTTTTCCATTACCTGAACCAATTCAAAGTGTATTATTTTTTTTATATTGTCACAATACATCATGTGAGTGCCATATTTTGCTGAATGCCCCATCAAATCAAATCGACCATCGCCAAATAGGACAATGTCTTTAACACGAAGCTCAGTCAGCAATGATGCTCTATATAGCTTCCAGTGACAGAGAATTGCAGGGAAAACAAACTTTTTTTGATGACGGAAATAAGTATGTGCACTGTAAGTGGCAAGGCCGAAGTGTCTGAAAATTAATAGCAGTTTGCTGATTGATGCTCCTGCTGTAAGAGTGCTGAGACTAAGCAAGATGTTACTAGCTGGATAACGACCAAGAACGTATGGTTTTGACCTCCATTTCCAACAGTCTTTCCCACACTCGTTGCAACTCTGATAAATAGTTACCATTGTCCCATTCTGCTCCATTCTGACTCCTGGCTTAGTTTTTTTACACTTGAAACAGAGGATTGAAAAGACTTCTAGTAGCATTGTATAAAATACAATAAACTTGGATTCTTTTTCTGGAGTTGCATTTTGGTCAATTCTGCGATAAAGATACAAAAAAGATATTAATGCATTTCCCTGACATTCCCTATATCACATAAAAATTATAATTTTGTCAAAATATTATACAACATATGGGAAAAAAGGACTTTTTGTTATTTGTTGCTTTACTAATGAAAAATTGGCTCAGCAGAATATGTAGCATTGCCTCATTTGTTGCCTCTTTTTATGTGTATCATCATAATCATAATCATCAAAATCAGTCCCATCACTATCTGACATGTCACTAGGAGAACTGTCTGCTCCATCAACTTTCCATTCGCTGTCCTCGTCCTCTGATAAATTTTCATTTGACTCTTCAGCAAGAAGTATATCTTCAACAGGAATAGGGTTACCGCTATCTTCCTAGAAAATAACAGATTAATAGATACGACTTATTGTACTGGCATTTCCAAGCCTTCTCGGTGGGATGTGTGTACAGAACCCCCTTCTCTTGGGCATATATCCAGAAAAGGCTCATTTTCCTTGGCTTCAAATTTCTAACTATCACGTTTTTCTAGATGACAGGGTGAAGGCCCACTGACTTTTTGCATATATAGTTTTAACGAAGTTACTTTGTGAAAACAGAAATTTAAAAGCTCCAGGAACAGTCAAAAATTGATAACAACTTGAGTCTATCAGTTGAAACAATACGAGGCCATCCCGCTTTGCCGAGATGAACTCTGCCTCATATAAATGCAATTAAAATTCATCCTGCCTAGGCGAGCTGGCCCGCCTCATATAAACAGGCCCACCACAGACATCTAATTTTACACATATACATATTAAAGTTGAGGAAGATATTTTCTCTTGTTTTCATTGTTTTTGGTTTTATGTTCAGTTTAGTTCATTACTTGTTTCAAGTGTAATTAAAATTGCAAGCAGAACATTTGCGAAATTCCTGATTTGACCTATTTAGATTGCCATGCGCATAGGGGCGAGCAAGAGTTACTTTTTGGGGTGTACTTTTAGCTTCTGTAAATCACCATCTTCGTCAGATGTAAATCATTTACATCTTCGTCCTCTGCCTGATCATGAAAGCTTCGAGCCATGCCAGCTTCGCCTGGTTCCGCATCTGAATTATCCTTAGAAAAAAGACTGGTCTGTTCTTGCAAGGCAAAAAAAGTAGCAACTGAAAGCTATTCCCCTTCACTTTTGTCAAAAGCTGACGCCCTTGAGCTTGTGGCGAATAAAAATTTTCGCATCATATGTACTTTAAGTCTTTGCTTTAATATCATTACAAAATATAACAGAATAAAATAGCTTCAATTTTTTTACAGGAACTAAAAATGGTCCCCGGCCCTGGGGTAGTTGCCCCCTGGCTACCCGCCTCCCTCTCCGCGGTACTGACAATACCACTCTCATGGTTGATTGCAATACAAGTCTCATAGTGCACTGCAGCAGATGTAGTTTCTCCAGGAACTACTTGACAATTTCTGCCGGCCCATTTCTGTTTCTCACATTCAGTAGAAGTTTGCTGAGTTCTAGATGAACCTCTTGAAAGTGGCTATAAAGTGTAACGCAAAATTATGACGCCAAGTTTAGCGGCCTTGGTCAAGCTACACTTTGCATCCAGCCACAACATGTAGAAGTGTTTCTGGAAGAAGACAGAATTCACAGTCAGATGTTTGACTAAGGTTACATTTTAGCAGATTTTTACGAGTTGGAAGAGTGTTGTTCAGATACATACTTGATGGTAAAGTTAAAGATGTTACAAGGCAAATTGCTCTGGGTACTTGACCAAATACGAGGGTTACTCCGAAATTATTGAGATTTTCAAAATTCGCGCCAAATCCAACGTTATAAAACAGGTTTCCTTAAACTTACACATTTATGAGCGTTTTTTGCAAATTCTTGTCCCTTCCACCCAAAGATATCTTTTTAACAAACCTTTAAAAGAGGGGACTCTCGCTTTAATTTTCATTTTCAAAATGGAGCTTGAAAGACGCGATTTTTGCACAATGATATATTATGATTTTAAAAAGGGATTAAAACAAGAGGAATGTCTACAACAACTAGTTGCAACTTTTGAAGATCGTACACCATCAAGGGCAACTGTTTTTCGATGGTTTGCAGAATTCAAACAAGGGAGGGAGAGTCTGAAAGACGAGGCTGTGGTCCCCGAAACTATAGCTGCTGTAGAAAAGCTACTCAAAGAAGATGGCCGAGTGACCTATGAAGTGATGCAGGAAAAAGTTGGCATTGGATCGACAGCATTAAAAAAATTTTGCACGATCATCTTGAAGTGAGAAAGGTTGCAGCTCGCTGGGTACCCCATTGCTTAACATAGGCACAGAAAGAGCATCGGGTAAACTGGTGCCAATTTATGCTTGAAAAGTTTGATAGTGGAAGGTCCAAACGTGTTTAAGACATCGTCACAGGTGATGAAAGTTGGATTTACCAATTTGACCCAGAAACGAAACGCCAGACGTCAGTCCGGATCTTTCCAGGGGAGCACCCACCACAAAAATTCAAGCGCTCCAGAAGCATTGACAAAAAGATGGTCGCTACTTTTTTGGAAAATGGGCCACGTGGCAACGATTCCTCTTGATGATCGCCGCACAGTTAACGCAGATTGGTATGTAACCAGGGCATACAGAAAGTGCTAGATGCATGGCGAGAAAACTGGTTTGCGCGGGATCCTATGGCACCATGACAACGCATCAGCTAACACTGCAGCATTGACAGTTGACTTTCTGCACGAAAATTCCATTCAGTTAGGTTCAGCTTTTCCAGTGAATGTTTCAGTAGGAAGGTAATTGTAGCTCCCTGGGATGGTAAGTTTTGAGAGAGACGTTCTTTGTTGTCTGATTTGACAGCCTTTAGTACCTCTTTAGTGTTACAGCAGATGTCGTACTGTAGGTTCTTGCCATGACTGGTGTTTTCCACAGGGTTTGAATGTCAAAGTTAGGAGAAGATTTTAGGGCATTGCGACAGACAGTCTGGCATTGCGTAAATTTGATAGAAGGCAGTTGTAGATTAAGGCCAAACTGATTTTTTGAGAGGATTATTCCACTCAATGTTGCAGAAACAGGAATATCAAGCCACTGGTAAATGTAATTGGAAACAAGATTGTCTAGGTTTTGGACAACCTAGGTCTTTGGTAGATCTGTAACAGTAAAATGCCATGAAACTTTAGACCGAACATAACAATGGTATAATAGCAGTTATTTTTAGGATGGAGAGGTAAGTCATCAATATCCTTCATAAGAGTAGCGAAAAGAGAAACAAGTTTAGATTTATGATCTTGGTTCTTCATTTCAAAATCAAAGAAACGGCCAAGATACTTGAAGTAATCGCCATTTGAAGGAGTCGACAGCAGGTACTATTTGGTTACAGATGAAAAGTTTCGGTTGAAATTGAAGGGATTGAGTAGTGTTTCTTGACACACATTTGTTAACCCTGATTATGAAGTTCGCCCATTGGCACCATCTGCTAAAGCAGTTTAATAAGAGTTGGTTTTCCTTTTCTCCACTGGTAACAACAGCAGCATCATCAGCAAACTGAAACCAGTGTACTGGCTGAAACATAGAGTCATTATCATCATGTGGGGAGAAACCAAGCTGCTCACATTCATCTGATTTGATGTATTGTATGAGGCAGTCACCTTGAGTGGGGGCTGAGGCAGTCACCTTGCAATACGCCGCGGTGAACGGGAATTGCAGTGGTTTGTAATTTATCGGTTATGATACAGGTTTAAAATCTAGATATAGGCTTGTGATTGAATTTCCGAAGGTATCTGATGATAAGCAAGAATAGCTGGTATCAGCTTGTGCTGAACATCGCCAAAGGCATTTTTGAGATCCAGCAGAGATACCACTAAAGATCGTTGCTCAATGTTAGCTTTATTTATTAAATGGCTCATCATTGCTGTGTGCTCTAATGTACCTGATACTTTTGAGGTGAAGCCTTTTTGGATTTGGTGCTCGATGAAGCCATTGTGTTTCAGAAAAGTGAAGATGGAGTCACGTAAGCAAGAAGCAAAAGTGATTGGCCTGAACTTTGATGGATCATCTGAGCTGTTTTTTTTAATCAAGGAGGCCTTTTTCCATTCGGATGGTACCTTACCTGAAAGCCAGACAACACAAATTATTTCAGTAAGAAAAGAACAAAGATAGGGATTTTGTTTGAAACAGATGATGGATATCTTTTCAAGAGGACAGGGAGAAGTAGAAGCTTTCATACGCCTTATGATAGAAGTAATGGTTTTGTAACTAGGTGGCTCTAGGTCAAATGAATAAGATGGTTCATTGAAAGTAGGGATCCATGAAGGAATGGTGAAATGTTTGTTCGGTGCGATGGCAGAAAAAGCTTTGACAAAGTATTCGGTACATCCTGCAACAGAAAAAGTTGGAAGAGCTGAAGTTTCATATTGTAGAGTTCGCTTGACGTAATTCCAGAAATTCTTGGTATTGTCACGGTCGTGGTTTGTTATACTGGAAGATTTAGTGGGTGAGCTTTGTTTTTTGATTTTATTATGAAGAAGGTTAGAGACATATTTGATTTCAATTAAAGGAGCATAAGAATGTTTCAAAGTTCTGAGTTCTTTTTTTAAATTCTTTGCTGTGAGATTGGCGTGTTTTTCCTTGAGATCTTTGTTGCAGCATTCGATTGTTACACAGGTTTCTTTGAAGTAGTCGTATATTGTTTCAATCATTAATTGGATTACAGGATCAACCGTTGACGCATTGACAGAAATATTTGAAAAAATGGAGTGGAAATATTTGTTAGCTAACAGCCATTCCTGGTCAGACATTGGAAGACGAATTTCAGGCTTGATATCAAAATTATTCTCAGGGGGAATTTCAGCGTGACTATCATTACTCTCAAGGTCAGCGTGACTAACTTCATTCATGACCTCGAACAATTGCTCTTCATCAAAGACTTTTATGACTCTGCAGTTCCTTTGATGGATGCGGAGGCCCTTTATCCCTTTGCATGACTAGCCGCAAGAACATTTCACACAGCTTTGGTTGTTAATAGCTGTATCGGGATTTCCAGAGTCAATGAGAGGAATGTTGATGTTTCCACTGGGACCAGTACTGCCAGTTTGAGTCCTTCGCTTGCAACGCCATGCATGCCGGCCTAACGAACTAAATTCCTTTCCACAAAGCGAACAAATAACGAATAAAATCAAAAGATAAACGATAGAAGAGCGAATCATTGTTTTTCCACAGTCCCCAAACTGTTATGCATCGATTTGTAGTGAATAAATTGCAATAAATTAAATCCAGGCGAAGTAAGTGGCAGTTAAACAGGAGCCGTGTACTGGATCGTCTGCATGCTACTGCTCAACGACCGTATAATAATAATAATAATAAAAATAATAATAATAATAATAATAAAAGTCGCATTAGCTGAAAAGCTCCACTAATATCACACCACCTTTGACAGAATTCCTCGGGCAATTGTGAATCCCAATTTACAGACACAATTTACTTTTAGTTTGCAGACATCCTGAAATAATCAATTTAGTAATAACATTGCTGGACACAATAGCCTTAGCAGATCTAAAATTCGCATGATGCTACTGAACTTCTGACGCTTTGTAATGAGCTCCTGCGCACTGGAATTAATTATTTTGGTTAAATCAGATTTGAATTGTTCCGATTTTCGATTCCACCAAATACCCAATACATTTGACTAATTATCCTCATTTGTTTTGATTGAATTTTCTTCAGTTTTAGATACATTACTGCCCAATACAGTGAATTTTTCTACACCATTTAAAACTTTCTCGGTCTAGTGAATGCGATTGAGTAGACCTTGATCAGTTAGGGCCCATTTTTACATGTTAAAACCTCCTTACTCAAAACAACGCTTAAGTTTCTCATAAACTCTGAAGGCTTCCTTTTCAGATGCAAATACGCATGCGTAATCATCTACATATAGAGATTTAACAACATTGTAAATGAATTCAGGATCAGATTCTTTGTATGCTTCTAAATGATACCTTATAATTGTGTTTAAAATGAATGACAAGCAAGTTAGGCAGCCAAGCGAATCTGAATTTTGACAAATTTCGGATTATCAAGATTTGAGTCTTCTATCCATAAAAAGCGCAAAAGATCTCTTTACTTTTGCATTCTTAATCATAGCAAAACACCGAAAATGAGTGAGATCAAGTTTGGTCCAGGATGTGAGCATTTAAGCACGCTTCCCCTGCAGCTTTAGAGCTAGCATCATAAACTACACGCAATTTTGTAGTTTAAGAACATCGGTATGCAGAATGTAATGTTTGGAACCTGGATTGGTGTCACTATTTTCTTCAGCTATGCGCTCAATTTTGCCTGAATTCAATTGCTCTTTCAAAACAGCGCTATATTGAGCCAAAAGTTCAGGTTTGGATTTCAAACGATTGAGTTGCGAATTTGATCGAAATTTTGCAACATTAAAGTTGTCTTGAATTGCTGGATGTGACTTTTTAACTGGTAACGAAAGTTCATATCATTTACCATCAAATGTTTTTTTTATCATTCAGAAGAGCCTCAGTTTGAAATAGAGGTTCCTTTGATTTGACAGCTAAGTTTTGGCGATTCCCAAAATTCCTAATTAATTGCACATCTTACCGCTATTTGAACAGCATCGCATGTTTTTAGTGTGCCCTTGTTGTTACCAAATTCTTTGATTAATGTTTTGCTTGTTTTAACAGTTGGAAGTTGAAGTGCCACATTTGATTAATCTGGAAGGAAGCCACATGAGGCATATGTTTTTTATATTTTTATGTTCTTTTTTGGTTCATTGCACTGGTTGGTAATGGCTGTCGTAAGTTCACAGAAGCCCAAGTGGTGTTGCTAGAGCAAGATTATAATGAAGGATTTAAGTCTGTTTAGAAGAAAAAGTTTGGGGATCGAATCCAACGCATTGCAAAGAGATCGGGTTTGGAAGAAGCAGTCGTGAAGACTTGGATAAACAATAGAAAGAGAGGAACGCCTCCTACTTGTTTCCTCTCAGCTAGCCAAAATAATTGCAGAAGCGATGTAAAAAAGGTTTTGAGGGCACCACCCGTTTGCCGACAGCCATTTGGCCTCAATCTTTTTGCTGGAGAATTGTTCTCTAAAGGTAAGTAGGTGTTGATCTAGTAGCAGTTGATTCTTTGTTGTTTTAGGCTCTTCGGGCTAGGCCTACATATAAAAATTTGCTTTGTCTTTTGTTCCGTCAAACTTTCGTTCAGCTGAAATTAGGACCCTTTCTGACAGAATCTGATTTAAAGCATTTTAGCATATAAAGCCTGGTTTTGGCATAAACATCTGTTTGGGTTTGTAACCCCGGTTTGTCAAGCATTCCAGTAGTTGTCTTGTGCGATATTTGAACGTTTCATCTTCAGAGCAGATGCGTCACATGCCCTTACATCACCCACCACCCTTCCCTACCCCACTTCCAACTTCCCATTTTCTCTCCACTGCGCTGCATTCACCCCATTCAACATCCACCAATCCAGCATTACTATCTCACATTTCAAATTCATTCACTCGTTTGTTTTATTTACTCTGATAAAGCTTTGTATGCCAGGACCATAAATTTTTGTTCTAAATAATATATCCCTAAGATATGAAGAGTAGCTGATCTTACTTTTAGAGTTGAAAGGCACGTCAAATTCTGAAAAGAATGTTGATGTAAGCAAAAGGTGGAAGAACTAGGTGAAGCTGAGAAGAAAAGCATGGAAAGAAAAAGCAAAGCAACTTGATAGGCCAGCATTAGAAGATTTGACTGCTAAAGATAGAAAACTAATTGATGCTACCCTCAACAGAATAGACCAGGAGGTACAGTTATTTAAAAATGTGTTGAGTAAGCAAAGTATATATAATGTAAACAAGTTGGTTGGAGAAGAGCATCTTTAGCACTTTATGACCGACTTGATCACCTTTTATTTTTGCAGATGCCAAACTTAAGCCAATATGGTGGCAAAAGTGTGGCCTTGCTGATGTTAACTCATGACAATAAGATGGTCATGTGATCAACAATTGGTGAAGAAGCATATTTATTGAAAAAAAGAGGATACTGAAAGAGTTTGCTTTGTTTTCAGGTCAGAGTTTGCTTTACAAATAAAAAAATTCATCAAATTAGGCCAGTGTAGGGAAAAATGCACGCTGCGATTTTTGGAGAAAAAATGTGCACCAATTTCTACAGCACTTTGGAGGAGTAACCAACAGTTTGAGATATGGCATGATAAACCAAACCTTTGATGATAGTTTCAATGAGTACCAAATCACAAAATAGTGCACTTTTGTTTTTCATTTCATTTACCTCAAAATTTCATAAGCGAAGGGAAAAAATGCTCACTGTAAAATTATGCTTTTCCTTAGAGAAGAGACTCTCATTATATGCCGCTTCTCTAAATAAATGGGACATGCAAGACTGAATTGAAATTTCACAACCATGTGGATATGGAAGATTTTGGATAAATTTCTATTCATAAAACACGGTTTTTTCATAACCGGACAAACTATTACTTTCTAAAAGACTCGATAGAACGATTTGCCTTTCTAAAAATTCCAATCAAAATACAGATCGAAAGACTTTCATGGAATATACTAACGAGTTAACTTAATCAATGATTCAATTTAATTTAGTTATGGCATTTGAACATTCAGGAAGGGCAAAAAAGCCAGAAGGCCAAGGACAAGAAAGATCTTTTCTATAGCATGTACTACGGGGGCATTTACTTATTCATCTGCTGCATCAGCAACCTACAGCAACTATAAACATTACTTATCTGTAAAGACTTAATTGGGGTTGCTCCAATTACTTTCGTAAGTCAACGGTTTCCAGGTAGCACGAATGACAGGAACACTACTGATGAATCAGGAATATTATCACATTTAAAGATTGGTATACCAGAAGAAATATAAGATATGAGCTTAACAACATCTTTATGCATAAAACTGTTTTTTTATTGGTGAAACGTTTTATTACTTAGTGTCTCTATATGTTTCCAAAGTTTTATAAATGTAATGTTTAAATCTGCTTGTGTTGTTTAAACAAAGGGATGATTTTTTGTTCAGTTTTTTCCATTATACAATCAGTTCGGTAGGTTGTTCTACACCTTATTCTGCTTTATATTTTGTTCAGGCAGAAGATTTGATACTTGCAGGCAAGTGATTTGTCATCCATGATTTGCTTCCAAAGAATTTTTTTTTAATCTACCTGCATTTTTGAGAAACAAAACACAATTTACGGTCAAAGAAGCTGTATATTTAAGAAAAACTCCACGTAGAGAGGAGTTTTTGAAAAATTGCAAAAGTACAAAGTCGTTTGATATATGGGTGCCTATTTTTGTCCATTTTCAGACAAAAATGTGCAAGTCTGTGCAGCTTTGGTTGATTTGAAAACATCTATTATTGCTGGCATTTTGCAAGAATTAAATGAAAGAGCAAGAAGTGAAACACGAGTTAAAAAGTTAAATAAATCCCACTGGGATTTTTTGGTACTTAATGAACTCGCTGTAAATTGACAAATGAAGGAGGAAATGTCGAAGAAGGAGTTTCAATGCCATCACAATTTCCCATTTTATCAGGGAAATTTTTGTTCCTTGGTGATACCAATAGAGGCGCACTAACAACTTTATCTAATCTGGATTTTTGATAGGGCAAGATTTGGACACCGGGTCAGAGGAAGAATAACATCTTGGTACCTCTGTTCAGAGATAGCAAACCAGGAAGATTTTGGCTGGCTGCTTTTATGAAAAGGAACAACCTTTCTCTGAAGAAGGCAGAGATGATCAGTATGGCTTGAAAATCAGCAACAGGAAACCCTATTGTAATATATAACTTTTAAGAAAAAAAATGATGAACTGGTCAAGAAAAAAGGATTTCAGCCTCGTGAGATATGGAATTGCGACGAATTTGGTCTCCAAATGACACCTAGCAATGCAGAGTGATTGGGAAAAAAGGCTAACGCATATTCAGACTTACATGTGGTCCTGGAAAGGAAAACACAAAAACACTTGCAGTTTGCAATGCTGCTGGCCATGCTCTCGACCCACTAGTGGTTTTTTCTGGAAAAATTCTACAGTGAACATGGCAAGGAGAACGAGCACTGAAGGACAAATGGTATGGAGTTCCAGAGAAAGGATGGATGGCAAGTGAGCTTTTTGCATCTTGGTTTGACTTGTTTGCCAAAAAGGTCACAGAGCGTCCACTGCTGCTTGTTTATGATGGCCATCTCACTCATGTGACTCTGCCAGTTGTAGAGAGGGAAAGATCCGAAGATATTACTATTGTCAAATTGCCTCCTCATATTGCCTCTGTTTCGGACCACTAGAAAGGCTATGGGGACAGAAGCTGAATGATTGGGTCAGCCAATGGGGTGCACGAGAACCAGTAAGAAAAGCCCAGTTTGCCAACCTGTTATCGGAAATTTGACATCCTCTATTTATCTTCAAATTATCTTCTCAAAAAATCAAGGCTGGGTTTGAAGCCACTGGGATTTTTCCTGTCGATAGCTCCAAATATCCAATTTCACGGCTGGATGCCAACATGGTAAACCAGAAAATGCCTTTGACGACCTGCTACACAAAGCAAGGACCTGTCCAAAAAAGCACCATCACCAAAGAAAATGTCAACACCAAAGAAGACATTTCCACAGAAATCAGCATCCTTTAAAGACCATGCTTCACCAGATTGCCCACCGGTAAAGAACTTGGTTCTGTGCCATCAAATGATACAGAAGGAAACCAGTTGATTAGATCCTGGATTTTAGTCAATGACTCTTTGGTTGTTGCTACAGACTCTTCACTGTCAACTTCAGCAAGTTTCGAAGAACTTATTTTGTATAAGATTGAGGACTTGTCAAAAAAGGAAATCAAGAAGCGAAGGAAGATTGACCTGAAGAATAGAGCTTTGACTGATGACGATTTTTACCAAGCAATTAAGGAAAATGAAAGGGAATGAACCAAAGAAAGGAGGTATCAGAAAAAGAGGAAGACCAAGTAAGAACACTGTTCAAGGAGGCGCAGAATGCAACATCTCAGCTGGGAACCTATCTCAGATGATTCAACAGATAGTAATGATTCCCAGAGTGACTCAAAAGCGACAAATGATGGAAAAGAAATCAGAGAAATACAAACAGAGCAAAAAGGCCAGGAAACTGAGGCAAAAAAAAGGGAACACTGAAGAAAGTTTAGCTATGGAGATCAGCCTGATAATGGAACAAATGGACGATGACAAGAAAGGTTTTTTTCTATTGCGTTTACTACGGGGACAAACTTTATTGGCGGAAAGTACAAAAAACGTTTGTACAGGATCCTGATGACAGTGCTGAAACAGTAGAGATGAACTTCCTTTGTTATTAAGGTGATGGATTTGAGATTTTCCTAAACTGCAAGATGTTGAAATCATAAAAGTGAAGTACCTGTTTCTTGGCCCATGTCAGCCATCGCAAATCATCAGTGGAAATGAAACAAATTCAAAGAAGATTCAGCTGCACACTCACGGTGTTGAAACTATTCTTATTAGCTGCATTAATAGCTTATTTACATATCTTTTTTTCTATTCAATTTAAATCCCAATTTATGAAATTTTTTATAGGAAATATCAACATTCTTTGGTAATTGAGAGGTGCGCAGTTTTTTGCCACATGTGCATATTTTTTCTCCTTTTTGTGGATAAAAAACGCGCAGCAGTTTTTCCATCTTAAAATAATCTCTTGAAGAATGGGTAGCAATGTTTTGTTGCTAAGGGAACTTATCAGGGCTACTTTGTAACTATACATAATTTTTTCCCAAATGTGTCAACAATCTGGGGGAAACCAAAAATTTCTCAAAATGCGCATTTTTCCCCACTGACCATATATAAAATTTACAGATAAAAGTTAAAAACTCAAAAATACTCCTGGTTAAAAAATGACAGGGATAGCATTAAAAAGGGCAATACAACCTTGTTTACATAATGTTTTACCTAACATAACCTCCAGAGGTGTTACCAAAAAGAAATGTGTTCATGAAAAATGAATTCTGTTTCCAAAACTTGGAAAAAAGTAATTCTGGAAAATGTTAACTAGAACCTTTCCGTTGGCTGAATTTGGTTTTTCAATAAAATATATAGGGGCTATTCTCCTGACTTTGTAGATCATCAAAGAATTTGTCTTTGATCTTATGTTTGAAACTATTGACATTTTTTGCAGATTTTAGTTTTGAAGGTAGATTGTTCCAGATTTTGGACCAAGATATGAGAGGCAATTTTGTGCAGGGAATCAAGTGTTTATGATTCATGCTAAGCTTTAGGTCCAGGTATCGTGCACTAGTGTAAAAGTGGGGGGGGGGGGACTAAACAGGGCGTGACCAAATTTGTTAGACCATGTCCTCAAGAACGCCGGAAACCCCTCTTTTAAGAAAATACTCGCTTATTTCTATCAAATTAGCTGGAGATATTAAAGGGTTTCCAGTCAAGAAGAACTGCTACTACATGGGAGTAAACTAACCAAAGTTGCGTTAGAATAAACTTTCAAAAAAAATTTGGAACCTTCTTTTGCAGATAAGTAGGGGGCTATAGCTCCTTCTAGCCCAATGGCTACTCGATGCTTAGCTCACACAAATGTATCTTATTTTTTCAGCAGTTGCCTGTTTTGCGGTTTTCATAATAGGCAATCACAGAATGGGTTTTTCAAAAAGCGCAGTTATTATTTAAGCGCAGGCGGTTTTTTCTCTAAAACAATTCAAAATACAAAAGAACTTTAAGAAAACACTCATGCTCAAAACCAATATTTTTTTAATAATATCAAGGCTGGAAAAAATGTATAGCATTCTTATTAAAGGAAGAGTGTACAGCAGCAGTGTTTCTTAACAAAGAAGCTTTCTATAGTACTATGAGCATGTGTTTGTATAAGTAATATATATATTGTTTTCTAGAAGTCATTTAGGAACAATATTTTCACTCTCATTGATAGGACACAATCACACTTTTGCAGTGCACCAAAAAACTTGGCTGCCTCTGCATAGTATTCTTCCTACGGCTGCTGAAGTTCCCCAATTATAAGGTTGGTGAAAATACATAAAATAAGATAGATAATTAATTTTTTTCTATTCATGATAAACGGCATTTAGTAGAAATTTTCAAATTGTTGTGTATTCTCAGGCATAATAACATTTGAACTGTGATTGATTATTGAAACCAAACATTGGAAAGGTCTAGAGTGGCTAATTTGAAGATAACTAGCTACTTGTCGAAGATTTTCCAAAATACCTTTTTAGACACAGTTCTAAAATACAAGGTGCTGTTAAGCGGTGCTCTGGTGACTAAAGTCGTAAGATTATGATATCAATATGACAGGAACTTCTTATTTTTAGGTGGATTACATTCCAGATGGAAAGAAACCTGAAAGACAAATGCGACTTATGGCATCAAAGTTGAAAAGTGACCTTCAGGCTGGAAGAAAAATCAACTTCATTGAAGTGTATTTGATGCTGTTGCCTCTAGAAAACAGCCATTGTTTCCATACTCTTCGCTCTGAGGTGCGTCATCAAGTATTTTCTCTATGAATTAGGGATGTCGCAGGCGGGTGTACACCAGAGGTACCTGGCGTCCAGTTTTGAACAAAATATATCCTTTTGAAGAAGTGAACTTTGAGGACATTGGAAAAGTGGCACTTCTTTAGAAACAGTTTGCCCTTTCTTTCTACGCCCCTGAAACGCTGAAAATGTTTGCTAACCTTTAACTTTGAAATTGTTGACAGTTTGCTTATAGACTCTTAAATATGACTCTGTTAAATTGAAAAATTTAACAATATATATGAAAAATGTGGTGTTTTGCTTACATAATTGAGCATCCATTGTCATCAGGGGCTAAACTTCACTATTTTCATTAGGGGGGTATGAAGCTTAAATGCCCGACGAAAGGGCGTGGCATGCTTGATGAAAGGGCGTGTCATACATGAGCTTCATTTTTAGAGCACATCGCCTCAAGAGCTGAAGTCACCATCAAGGGAAAATTTAGAAATCACAACAAAAATTTTGTAAAAAGCTCTCTTGTTTTGCAAAAAGTAGGGGGAATGGGTATGCACAGTGCTCATTTTCTTCTCGCATCAAACACACTTTACTTTCCGTCTATACTTTCGCTGTCGATCAATACTTCAGACATGTGCGTGTCGAGCTCGAGACGAAAACGCTGATCGGTGCACAAAAGACGGAAATGTATATATGTTGCTGTTCCTAGCCTCGTTTCTGTTTTGTTTTCCCAACTGGGAGGAGATTGAAAAAAAAGATAGGGGAAAAGACCATGAATTAAAAAACCAAGCTAGAGCAAAAAGTAGCAATAAGAGTGCGATCTAAAGAAAATTTCCAGATTTGCCCGACAGATACACTGGAAACCATAAATTTGCCCGACAAAATCTGCCTTTTTGAAGATTGGGGGGGTGCAGCACCCCCCATACCCTCCCAGTAGTTTCGCCCCTGATTGTCATCATTACTACATTTAGGGGGCCAACATCAGAGAGACGATTGACCTCCAAGTCGTGGATAAAATTAAAGAGCTGCACAAAATTGGTGTAAAGGCAGTTTACAGATACAGTTTACCACTGTTCTTCGTTTGCGTCATATCCAATGTTGGATATGGGCAATTCCAGAATTATGTCGAGCAAAATTTTTAAAGTTCTTGATTTAAGGGAAAAAATAAAAATAACAAAGAGCTAAGGTATTAAATAATTCAAACAGGTAAATTCAATATTCTGTTAGCTTGTTTTTTCATTTATTTTTCCATGTTTTTTGAAACTATTTTTGCGTGCAGCCTCAACAGGAATAAATATCAGAAAGACAATTAAAATTTTTGAAGCATTGTTTGTTTGACAAGAAATATTATGTTGCTCTGGTAATATAAATTGAACAGATAAACAAACTAATAATAAATTCAAAAAATATTTTCATTTGTATTTTTATATTTGAAACATAAAGATGGCCTAAAAACTGTTGTACGTCTGTAACAAAATTGTCATTTTTTCAAAAATATTTCTTTACCTAATTGCTGGATGTCGTTGATTGTTTCTAAACTTCTAGATTTTATTTCAGTTAACAATACAACATCTAAAGTTTTGAAGAAAACATTTTTACTTTACTTTTAAATGCTGTAACAGACGTACAATTTTTTTGTACGTCTGTAACATTTATAAAGCTGTAACTAGAAGTATTCATCACAGAAAGGCCTTGGCACTAATTAGTTAGTTGTTTTGTTGTCATGGCAATTAGCAAGGTTTTGGCCTAAATTTTTGAAGAATGTTATTCAGAAGGCCTAACCAATTTAAAAAAAGAACAAGATAGCTGAGACAGTTAAAATCAAGAAACATAGAGAAGTTATGGCAAAAACGGCAGTTGAAAGAGTAAGAGAACACAGAAAACGATTAAAAGAACTTAATGTAGATAAATGGAAACAAGAAAAAGAAAAGGATAGGATAAGAAAGGCCAACAAATGAGTAGCGTTGAAGGCAAACATTCCTGAAAGGTATCAAGAGCTGAAAAATCAAGAATCAAAAAGAATAAGAAAATATCGAGCAAAGCTAAAAATGCTTGCAACAGCACACGTTGCAGAAGAACAACCAGCTCTTTTTGCGAACCATCAGTCTTTTAAAGCAGTAAAAAAGGTGAAAAGCAAATTGCCAGAGTACCAAGAAAACGAAAAGCTGTGTTTGCAAAACTTGCTGAAGATGCTGGCATTTCTTTCACAGAAAGCCCTCCAACCAAAACCAAAAAACCAGGGCCAAAAGAAAACAAAGAGATTGATGCTGCTGCAATTGCTTTTTACAGCAATGATGACATCAGCTGACAAGCCCCTGGAAGAAAGAACAGAGTTATATACAGATCCAGAGATGCAAATGGAAAAAAACACAAGGAATATGTGCAATGCAGATACATGCTAATGAGTCTTGGTGAGGCACATCAATTGGCTGTTACCACTGGGCTGATGATAAGCAGATCAAAGTTTTGCTCCCTCAGGCCCAAGCACATTAAACTAATGAAAGACAGACCTCACAATGTATGCGTTTGTGTTACACATGAAAACATGAGTTTTACTTTGTAGGCGTTGAAGCCCCATATCAATGTTCCAAGCTGCCAAACAAAGTTTACAAGTGAGCTTGTTTGTGAGCCAACTTCAAAGATCTGTATGAGTCTAAAATTTGATGATTGCAGCAAAAACATTGAATCGTTTAAGCCAAATGGAGAATCTGCTGATCTACTAGTCAAATATTCACAGTGGCAAGGAGCCTCAAGCGAGTTAAGTAAGATTTCTGTTTCAGAGACAGTTGAGTCTGCATTCAGCGAGCTTAAAAGGCAACTTCCAGCATACTTGATACATGTTTATATCAAGCGACAGCAGAAAACGTTTTTCGAAAAAAAGAAAAGTAATGTTGATGGAAAATCGTGTGTCTTGCATGTTGACTTTTCGGAGGATCAAGTTTGGACATTCATCACCACATGGTTGGAGGATAAAATCAAAAATTTCATTCTGAATTGTACGTCTGTAACTATGGAATTGCCCATATGTTGTGGTTGCAACTTTTATCACTGGAAATGAAGACATGGATTGAATATTAGAAGAGATATTAGTTTTGTACACAACTGATTAGTAACAAAACAAAGTTTTCACAATATCAATGTTCTCTTCACTTGAAATCCAAGAATGTTCAGTATTGAACTTGGATTAGGAATTAGCTTATAAAACCATACAAAATAATTGACTTTGACCAATGCACACAGGCTCTTTATAAAAAACTGATATTACCAAAAATGAAGAAACTCAAGTACTGAATAATTGTCATATTTGTTAGAGTCTGGTGCAAAAACAGCTGGTTTCCTGTACATTATTTGATTTTTCAACAGAAGGGTGCTTTTGAAAATTAGGCAGAAAATTGTCTCTCACAAAAAGTAGCTAAAATGTATTGGGCCAGGAAATTTTTTTAAATATAAAAAAAAAAAAATTTTGATTTGTACCTTATTTTCGAAAAATGTTTGAAATAAATTCCAAAAGTTTCTTAAACGTTTGGGATTGGGAACTTTTAAAAACCTGTACATGCATACAAAAAACTTGTCTGGCATTTATAACCTACATAAAATCTTGTCTGGCATTTATAACCTACATAAAAAATTACACAAGAGGTAAAATATAACTACTGACTCCAAAGCCATAAGAAATAGTTTGAAAACAGATTGGCTAATTTTCAAAACTTGAACCAAACTCTGCTTGAAAAAGTAATTGTTGAATTTGGCATTTTACATATGCCTTTGTCTTTGAATGTAGTCTTTTAAGTTGTGGTATTAAACTTCTCGTGTAAAGGCTGTCTTCATCATCATCCTTTTCTTTATTTAGCTCTGCTAAAATTGCCTTATCTACATCATTAGCTGCATCCCTTTTCCTTCTTTTGCCAGAAATATTTGGTGCTGCAGGGCTATTAACATGATCCACTGAGCTTCTTGTTGACATAGAGCAAGCAGGGCTTTCTGTCAGTGAATCTCCATTAAATTTTTCAGAATTCTCATTGTCAGCCATGTTTGACATAAAGCCTAAGCTTAGTAGTTGGCTTCATTTTTCTTCATCTATTGTGGAAAAATCGGAGGTCGTTGGTGTTTCCACAATGCTAATTTTCTTTAAAAAGCTAATCTGGCTTATCAATTGCCAACTATTTTTCTTGGATCTCCAGATTTTGGAGCCAAGAGCTTGAACTTCTTCTTATGCATGTCTTTTAAAACCCGCCATTTTGCTTTTGCAAACGATGCTTTGCATTTGCTATCTGAATCCATGCAGATTCTTATTCTTGTGGTTTGCTTGATAGTATTTTAGTGTCACAAAAGATGCATTAAACAGCTCTTTTGAAGGAATCAATCTTGAGATGACAGACAGACCCTCTTGCATTTAGCTGCATGTGTAGGGGACCAATGAATGGAATTATATTTGTTAAAGATGATGGTACATCACAAGGAAGAGATTGTCGAGGATCTGCCTGACATAAAACTGAGCTGGTCAGTCTCCAGGTTGAGGACATATAAAGTAATCTAGATATTCCAAAGCCTTGGTGAGTAGCATGTTTGAGGGCTTGCAAAAAAATTTCAAAATTCTTCAATGGCAGTTCATCTAACAGTTTGCTTTGCTGCATTATTCTGATGTCTCTTCCTTGCTGCATAGCTTGATAGTTGTGGATCCAAAGTCTCTTTCTCTCTTTCTCAAGGTCAAAAAATTATGCTCTTATCCAAAAGGGCATGATAGAGGCAAAGGTAGAAGATACTTTGTACATATTTTCACAGGCGAATTGAGAAAGTAGGTTGCTGCTGATACCATCTGGATATGTGTGATTTCCATTGGATGAGATTGCATGTATTCCTGGAAAATTTTTTAACAGAATTGTAGCCATACTTCTGGCATCAGAGATTTTCAAATCTTTCGGACGCGTTTTGGTATGAATATTTGTGTAGTCATCTATAAGTAGAATTAGAAGTTCCCCATTTGTGACAGTCCCATTTATGTATTCGGAAACAGCATTGTTTGGTTTCTCCATATTTTTCCATATTTCTCCATGTTGTCTTTGTGATTTCTTAAAGACTGCAACCCCACTTTGATTTTGGATTGAAAGACCTGTTTCACCGATCCCTTTGTTAACAACCTGTGTAAAAAGAATCCTTTGAAACCAGTTTGTCTTTTGTCACCGGCCAAACATTATCTGCTTGGCCCACACAAGACTACGGTGGCCCATAAAGGCAATACAAAAGTTTGCAAACAACTACGAATGTTTTGAAACAAATACAAAAATATATAATTTTGTCAGGGAATATGTTTCCCACAACAATAAAATTAAATTCCACTACATTAAAGTAAATTCCACTACCAAAAAGTAAATTTCACTACAAAAAAGTAAATTCCACTACAAAAGTAAATTCAGCCTCGTTTTGAGAACTTGAGGCTGGCCTAGGCATTCCAGTCCACTTGTTCCGGTCTAATATCGTGGATGAAAATCATGTCAACGAGGGTACAATTCTGTCACAACTGTGCGTTTAAGATATCTGATGAGTTCAAATTCTGCCCCAGATGTGGGTCGAAGCTGTAACGAACTTTCGAGAACGAGTCCTCTTTGCTTTCTGCCAAAGAGCAAAGCGGCAAAGATGACAGCTGTCGAATCTCTTTGCCAGGATTCGCAGTATTCAAAAGAAAAAACAGGAAGAGCGAAGCTCCTTTTCAGTGAGAGGACTTGGCAAAAGGAAAAAGGTGGAGGAGAAGCCCGTTGTGATAAACGTTGGGGTCATGAAGAGTAAACATGGAGAGATTAAACGTGGTGAAAATTTACATGTGAAGCTGTTACCTTCCTCGCAAGTAGAAGAGATACTCAGAGTAGCAAGGCAGAAACATTGTGCCTTTAATAAGCGATTCAACGACAAAGGAACATACAAACTTGCGTATAAAGATGGTTCTGAAGTAGTTAATGTCCCAGGAACTGAAGAACCATTTTCACTCAAGCGGTTTAAAGAAGAATCTGGCTTCAATGATGCAAGGATTGCACTTTACTTGCAACCAACAAGGCTCACTTTCAGCGAAGTTCTTGGTGAACTTGCACATGATAATGAAAGTGAGGAAGATAACTTGCTATTGGCACCAATAGATCCTCTCTCTCCATTAAGCCATAAAGAAGACTTCGCAGTTGAAATTAGCCAGAACCCTTCTGCAGAAATTGTGGCCCTTGCCCCAGGCATTGAAAGTTCTAAAATAGTTCAACACGAGGAGGAAGCTGTAAATGAGCAGATGTCGCCCATACCTGGAACTAGTTATTCTAATCTCTCACAAGATGATGGACAGGTTGAGTGCCCAACATCCTTTGTGAAGTTTCCTGTTGCCGAAGTAAGCCAACATGCTGATGAATGTGCTGATGAGTTCTGGTCAAGATCAGACTCTGACATCATTGGCCACATCACCAAAAAGGTATGTGGTGATGAACAAGCAGAAGCTGACATACCATCACTGAGAACTGAGATCAAAAAAATAAAAGAAAGTAATCTTGACAAAACCAAAATTCTTGTGACCGTCAGATGAAGCAGCATTTGGAATGATTTTAAGCGTGCCAGAGAAAGATACTACAGACCTGATTCTGCTTTCAAAGTGACTTTTTCTGGAGAACCAGCTATTGATACTGGTGGGCCAAAAAGAGAGTTTTTTGCTGGTGAGCATCTTTGTTTACCTGATTCTTGAGTAGTGTTACTAACTAGAGATGACACACAATTCAAATTAATATCAAAGTATTTCCATATCACTTCTATTTACTTTTTGCCTTCACAGAGATGTTAGAGTATGTAAAGACAAGGCTATTCGAGAATGGCTTGCCATCAACATCCACTATGAGTCTGATTAAGGAAGATTTTAAGCTCGCAGGAGAAATAATGGCAATGTCTATACTGCAAGATGGACAGGCACCAAACTTCCTTTCCCCAACTACCTACAAATATCTAACTGGTGATCTACTAAACATAACTGATATTAAATCATCAAAACATCAGGCACTTTGTGAAAATGTAAGTTTGTCTAAAGCTTTTTCTGGTTTTAACTGTAGCACAGTTAAGTTTGTTCATCTTGACAGCACTTGAGCTGTTTGACCTTTGGTAGAATCTCCACTTGCACATTTGTAAAGAATTGAAATTGATGTTAACACATTGTGGAATCCTCGTCTTAATCTAGCATTTTTTTATGTAAGCTGATGGCAGGTGATAAAGACCTTAGCAAAGTCCTGGAGGATGATGATGCAAATGAAGTCCTTGAAGAGATTGGATACGTAGGTGTAGCATCAAGAGAAAATGTAGTATCAGTTCAGAACATTATAAGGTTCGAATCTACTCCACGACATATCATGTTAGTTGTCTGGCATTAATTTATCTCCTCCTTGTATTAATATTATTTTTGTTTGATAGGTCCGTATTTCATCTAGCTATAAATCTTTGTTTGTTATTGTGGCATTTTAATCGGGACAAAAATCCACCATGTGATGATAGACATTTAACTTACCTAATGATACATAAGTAAATTTTTATTGATAAGTGTAAGAAATTGGATGGAGCTTTATAATAGTGTAAGAAATTGGATAGAGCTTTATAATGTTGCTTGACTAATTACTTTATTATGGCAGGTCAATTTATGTCCAGCAGCAGGTTGGTGGTATCCTGCCACAACTAGTGCAATTAAAGGAAGGTTTGTCAACCTGTAAACTCATTGACCACATCAAACTTCATCCAAAATTGTGGGAATCAGTATTTTTGCATGGCATCGAGAGTGATGTTTCTGCAAGCATGCTTTTGGAACAGTTGGAGCCAAATTATAATGAAAGGCAATTGAAAAGGAACATTGAGACTGATGTTTTCTTTCATTTCTGTGAATTTGTCCATTCTCTCCAATGTGGTGGTAAGCTTGAGTCTGTATGTTTTGATAATAGCTTTAAGTAGAGTGGATTCAATATTGCTGAAACTACTTTGATTCATTTGCACTAGGCCAGTGAGCAAGTAAAGCTGACAAAAGTACTGCAGTGCATACCAGTGTTAAGTTTCAAACATAGGATGACTCACATGAATAGTACCATCTTATTCACATGAATAGTACCATGTTATTCCTTTACAGCTTTTGCAGACTTAAGTGTAGCTAAATTGTTACAGTGGATTACTGGTTCATCTTCAATTCCCCCACTTGGATTTCCAAAAAAGATCAGATGTGGCTTTCTACATGGATGTTTTCCAGAATGTGCCTGTCGACCTATAACATCAACCTGTGATTTGATAATAACATTGCCTGTTTATGCAAACAATGAAGAGAAAATGAACATGGCAATGGTCTCTGCCCTTACAGAAAGCAAAGGATTTGATCGTATTTAAATCCTTAAGATGTTTGGTATGGACAGTTAGTGACTGAACAGTATAAAAACTTTCACATTTTCATGTAATTTTTGTTAATTATGGCACATAAAGCATCACCATTTATGTCCATGTTTTCACCTCAATTTTTGCTACTATAAATAATACTTGTGCAAATTCAATAAAAATTGATAATTGAAGATTTTACATGCTACAAACACTCTGCTACAAGCAGTTTTGCATTCAACAGTATGGCTGTGTTTTTTCAAAACAAGTTAATGCATTTTAGATAATACCGTGGAAATACTATCCACAAATGAGTAAATAAGGATTTATCTAAAGACGTTTTTAAATTACAGATTACTTGATTCATAAAACAATTCTATAGTTAGGGATGGGGAAGGGTGTTTATGGTTTTGGTGATGGAGGGTTTATGGTTTTCATGGAGGGTGACACTATGAAAAGGGAAGGGTGGTTTCTAGCTTTGGTGATGTAACTATGATAAAAGCGACCTATTGCAGACCTTTCTTAGATCTTTATTTACAAAAGCTGAAACTTATGATGTTAATTACTAAATGGAAGGTTTGATACATAGGCTCATCTCTGGCAGAATATGAAGGATCAGGAAAAACTTTCTTTGAAATCTCCACCAAAACTGCTTTTTGGACACTTCGAGACAGCTACTGTCAAGATTCTATCATAATTTTTGTTGTTCATACCTACTTTGCTTTTGTGCTAAAACTGTTACAGTAACAAAATTGTAAACAATATAAGACTTTTTAAAAGACACATGATATTACCCACAAGTTGCAAATCAAAATTGTCATAGTAAATAAAGTCAGAAAGACCAATGGAAAACAATGAGCTAAGTCATAATGCATATTTCTTTCCTTGAATTTTTACAGTCAGGAGTTAAAGTTTGCTGATTTATTATCATGTTGAGTGAGTATTTCTAAGGCTGGGTGAAAAAGTTTTCATGAGAGCCAATAACAGAAGTTTAAATTCCTGGCATTATTGGGCATTTAGACCTGATGTATGTTTAGAGGCTTGTATGTTGGCCATCTTTCTGTATCAGTTATTCTTCACGTACAGCCACTTTTTTACGTCAGGCAGTTAGTGGTAATGTTTTCCAACCTTCAAGGAATACATTTTTGTATGGGCTCAGGTCGACTAGATATCTTGGTGTTAAACTCTGGAATGATATTCCAACATACATTAAAATTTCAGCATCCTTAAATGTTTTCAAATCAAAACTGAAAGAATTTCTCATAAATGGTTATATTCTACATCAATATTGAGGTAATCCCTAAGGATCTGCTCAGTCTCTAAGTCCTTGTTTATTCCAATGTTTTGGGGAGGCTTTCTGGTTTCTCTTTTGATTTAAAGAAAAATTTCACTTTTTTAGTTTTAGATGGGGGGCCCTCTCTCGGATAGAGCTCCTCCTTAGACAAATATATTTAAATACATAATGTCTTGTAATGTTCTATACACGCTTTTTTTTTATAAGGAACCTAGCTCGGGCCTAGTTCTTTAAATTCCTTATTTTGAGACCTGTTTTGACCACTTTGTAGTTCTAAATATTCCTTAATAGTTCCTTAATTTTAAGTTGGCATTTAGTGGACAATAATTAGTACAGACGCAAGAAAAACAATCAAATTCAGCGTTTTGCTATAAACTTAAGAAAAGATAACAAGTTAAAACACAAAGAAGCTTCATATAATATAAAATTAATAATAATAGTCATTAAATAATAATGGCCATACAGGCATACCACGTCTTTGTGGTATGCCTGTATTTCATCCTGGCTGATTCTTTTCCCTGTTCCACGGAAAATAATTGCAATTTTGACTGGCGGTCCTTCGGCTGCAAAGCAGATTTGTAACATGCACTGCCGCTTATCAAGTCCCGGTCCCGGTGTGCTGAAAAAGAATTCAAGATAGCAATTTTAGAAGGAGTGGACAAATGAGCAGCCCCCCAATTTTTATAATATTTCCAAATTAATTTTTTAAAAGGCCCAGTCTGGAAAGAGTTTAAACAAAAAGCAGAAAGCGGTTTACCTGACCCAGGTTCGATGGTTTCTTTGTTCTCCGCGCGGAAAGTGTTTTTCGTATGTTGTTTTACAATTGACCGCAAACGGCATAGGAACTTGGTCAACGTTGAAGCGTTTAGATGGTCGGAATCTCCCCCATTTGCTGTCATAGGAAGGCTTTGCGTTTCCTGTCTTGATCAAGCCTTCGCGCAAAGTTGTGTGCCAACCAATCATGCCTGGCAAGAAGCTCGTTTTCTCAGCCCTTTTCTTACGCTGAATTCTCCTCAACTTGATTTTGTACTTCCTGATAAAGTTGAAGACTGCAGATTTCGGGATAGCTTTAATATCTGATTGGGCACTTTGGTCGAATTCGGGGTTAATCTTCCTAGCATTTGCGTACAGCCATGCAAAAGATATTCGCATCCCCTTTGATCTTGCTTGTAGGAACTTTTCGTGAAGCATCACGAAGACTTGCTTATGCCTTGTGCTGGGTCTGATCTTTTTCATCATTTTCCTGTGGCTATCGGCGGCTGCATCAGTAATTTTCTTCTCATTTTTAACCCAGGTCGATACCATCGATTTAGAGATGTTGTATTTGAATGCAACGTCATTCTTTTGGTTTTTCTTTGCTTCCTCGATAACTTTTAGCTTAAATTCGGTGTCATAAGATAGTCTGTTCTTCTTCTCTCGATGGTGCTGACTGCTTTCTCCTGCTTCTGACGCTCTAGCACTTTTCTCTATCTCTTGACATTCCTCTACAGTTTCTTCGATGTTCTCATCCACATCAATAGCAGTTGGTTCTTTTTGTGGCTCAACAGCCTCGGCGCTACTTTCCAAGATCAATGGAATTTCATCGATTTTTTTAGTTGGTTGTTCTTTTTCTCTCTCACTGTCTTTTTTCGAAGTGCACCAAGACACGTGCATCGTAAGGCCAGACTTACTTTTGAAATGCTTGTTGCATGTGTCACAACGATACAAACTTACATCATCATCCTCAACAAACGAACGACCAGGGACTTCTTGTAACTCATTTCGATGAGGTATCTTTTTAGAAAAACCGAACTTGAACAACGTTGACTGCTTTTTCTTATCTCCCATATTGCAACTACTGTAATACTCAGCCACACACACAGAATAAGAATTCTATTTTGTTGTGACTAACCTATTTGACTAAAACTAAAACACCTAAAGTGTGAATTCACAACAAAGCACAGCTGCATGTGAGGTGAGTTAAAACGGAAATTTCTCATGTTGATTCTTGGCCCCATGAGCATGGCCGGTTTTACTGAAAATCAATGGAACCGGCTTCCTAATTGTAAATTGTGCGGAAATATAAATATATTCAAAATTAAAAAGTTCCTTAGGGATTTGGCCTTTAGTAGTAAAAGTTCCTTAAGTTTTTTGACCTTCTACATGTAGGTTCCTTATAAACGGTTCCTTATAAAAAAAAAGCGTGTATTTAAGTTCTATGTTGTAATGTTATGTCAATAAATTTTATTCTGTATTGTAATGTATTTAGGTATATTTGTCAATGAAATTGAATTGAATTTTTACAACCAGTTATGATGATCCTATAACTACCAACTCTTTAAATAATTCTTCAGCTTCTCTCCAGTTGTTTGGCATTTGAAATGAGCTGTTTTCGATAATGTATTCAAAATAAACTTGGTAGTCATTTTCTTCTTCATTATATTGTAACAAATTGTCTGCTACTAATTTGATTTCATCATTTGAAATCGTTTTTAATAATCCATCTTCTCCACCATTGTTTTCAGGTGAGTAATATAATTCATCTGGTATCCCAGGAACTGTGCTATGACCTGAATTACGGATCCTATGGCTGTTCCAGTGATCTTTAACATGATCTAGATCAACTTGAATCAAAGCTGAGAAGCAAAACCATAAAGCTTCCTCTTCCAAAGTATTCCCTGGATGAACAATTTCCTGCTCAATTAGATCTTTAAAATAATTGATCCACCATGTGGATCTACTCCTGCGATAATAAGACCACCACCCCTCAATTCTCTGATTGGCTGGTGACTTCCCATAGATATGAGCATCTGCACTTCCATGAAAATGACATTGCATGGCACAAATTATGCCATTTTCAGTTCCACAGTCACTTCTTACCCTTACTGGACAGCCACCATACTTTTGCACACAGTCAAGGAAAAATCCTCTGGGAATTTCTGGTTTATTGTTGGAACGATCAACTTTCAACCACATTGTCTTTCGAATCCAACCATCAATGCAGCCATGAATTGGAAATCCAAATGGCTTAATTTTGTCATATCCGTCCAGGTGCCAAACATAGTTGGGTCCTGGGGTTCTGTATTTCCTTCTCCGCAAGCGTTTTCTTTCACGTAAGTCACAACCTTCTGGATCTAGTTCCTTGACAACATCTTGAACAATACGACATGGAACTTGCATACCTTCCATTCTCAGTGTGTGCCAAGTCGAGCGATAACCCCCTATGCATCCTGGGCCATCTAGTTCCTGTGCTATGCGGTTGCGGATATCATTTGAATCATATTCTGCAAGACGCCGGGAGAGTCCAAAAGCAGATAAACGATACCTTAGTGTTCTCTCGCACATCTTTATTCCGTGCCTCTTGTAAAGCATACGGATAATGCTATTGTACTGAAACCCTTTAAAAAATAGTGATTAATGATTGACTCTTCATAAGAAGCCAATAATGTACCACAACTAGGGCAAAATTTGAATGAATCAGATGCTTCTTCAATCGAACAAACATGGCAAAACTTCGCAGGATCATCCATTTTGAGCTATCGTCTGTCAAAACAGGGGCTGGCTTCTCAAAACGAGGCTGAATTTACTTTTGTAGTGGAATTTACTTGTTTGCGGTGGTACTTTCTTTTTTGTAGTGGAATTTATTTTTCGTAGTGGAATTTACTTTTTGGTAGTGGAGTTTAATTTTTCGTTTTGGGATACATATTCTCTGATAATATAATGTATTTTTGTATTCGTTTCAAAACATCCGTAGTTGTTTGCAAACTTTTGTATTGCCTTTATGGGCCACCGTACAAGACACTGCATTCAAAATGGCATCAAAGATTTTTTTTGCTCCTGCCTGATTGCAAAGTTCCTTCTTTTTTAATGGATTGAAAGATGGTTGCTGATCATCACTGCTGTACAAGGACCAAAAATGTTCTCTGCAAAGCCTTACTTCTTTCTTGCAAATCTATTCTACTTGAAACAGTTTCTCGAAATTTATCAACAATTGACATGTCTATGTACATCAGCCTGTTTGCTACCTCTAACTTTTCATTTTTCTATTTGCCTGATTTTTTTAATTTTTTTAGGATATGACCTGTGAACATTTCTGAAAATTGGCACATTTGAGCTGGAATGACCCTTCTTCGTCTTGGAAATGCCACAAATAATCTGTACCAATTAATACTGAGATCTCTAAGCAACATTTCTTTGGCCCCACATCTGAGAAGCATGAATCTTGCAAATGATTGTACACCTTCTTGACCAACTCTAGTTGCTAAATCGTTGCCTCTGAAATTAAACTCACAACAAAGACATCAATTGACACAATCTGTCCACCATTCAATGGACTCAAATCTTACTTAACATATCATTAGAAGTAACAGTTGCAACTTTATCACCAAATCTTGTAATATATATCAATTCCTTGCTTGAAGGAATAATACCTGCCTTAGAAACAGCATCAGAGGTGACCAATTATTTATGATTTCCCCTGTAAAACATAACATAGAACAGTCTGAAGTGCAATGTTCCCTCCACATTCTACACTCTCTACATAAGCTGTCATTGTAAACTTAGGCAGCACAGATTAGAAACTATTGCTAAGCACAAATTTCTTAACTACTGGAGAAGGAAAACTAGGTGAAACCAACTTAGGCCTATCGTAAAGAGATCAATGGGGCCTGCCCTTGCAATATAACCATAAATTTGTAATCCTACACAGATAAACACGCTTTCTTTTATCTAAACATAGGAAACATCTTCCAAATCGGTTTACAATGTTGTTTCGTTTATTGATATTTGTTATAATATCACAAATGTTTCCTCTTGTTCTTTCAAACAGAATGAACGGTGTTTACTTCTTACACTCATCTGCAAAGAACTGACAAACTTCTGCTGTTTCAACATTGGCAGTATGTCCCTCTTTCAAGTCCAAGCTCCACTGTTGTCACTGTTCGGCTTCCCTACCAGCGATGCATATGATTGGCTGATATCTAGCTCTTTCCGCAATGCACACAGAAAATATTTCAATATTTCGTCAATATTCAATATATAGTCAATATTCCGGGCAGTAAGCTGCTATCACCAGACTTGTTCTATTACTTTCTGGAAATTTCACCAACAAGGATGGCACAACAAGGCATGAATAGCTCCTATCATTGACCCCTATTGCTTGAAGCCCACTTTGTTTTCCTGCGACCCCTATTGCTCGAAGCCCACTAGTGGGCATTTTATTTTTTGGCAAAGTTGCTGTCAAGTTTACACTTACCTGTTATCCAATGTTCTCATGGACGTTCTGTCCCTGCCATCTAGCAAAATATTTACTATTTGCACCAGGGCTCTTTGAATTCACTGCTTAAAATCTTCGGAATCAGAAACTTTTTTTCTACAATCTCCATCCTCTTCATCACAAGCAAGGCCCAAGAATTCCTCATCAAATCTATCAACCCTCTTCTGTTTGTCTCTCAGCTGATACTGCAAAAGTTTCAAATTGGACTTATCTTGCAACTTGTCGACTTGATTAACAAGTGTCAAAGCATACTCACAATGAGCTTCTCAAACAGTTTGTTTCTTTCTTATGTTTTCCTCCATTCCCTATCTCCTTGGCTGTACCTTTCATAATTTATCTTGCTTGGTGGACCGCCAAGTACAATATAAATTCTGGTTCCATGGTACAGATTCCAACTTTAAAGGAGATGTCTTCCTTCCAAGTATTGAAACATTTCATCAATCAAAATAGTTAACGTATCTATGGTTATTGATTCATTCTGGGTAAATTGAAGTTCATTAAATATTATATAATCACACATTCGGCATAAACTTAAGCCAAAAACTGTCACTCCCAGAACCAATCTCGTGTTTTGCAATCGACTTGCAAGAGACAACTATAATATAGCATAGCAGAATTGGTTAGGCTTTGACACAGGAAAAGGCAGAGCAAATGCAATTGAAGAAACTATCAAAAGAAGCTATGGGTAAAAATGCCAGTCATAAGCAGCATTTTGACTCTTATTGTTATTATGTAAAAGAACATTCTTCCCAATACTGTTATTGTTGATACTAAAATTTAACAGAGACGTCCCACATTGTGAAATTTTGGGTAACTTTTCAACCTCCTATTTAAATTCAAACCCCCAAATTTATTAGTAAGACATTGGAGAGAGTCAATGTTTCACACGAGTTACAAGCTTCCAAATTATACAATAATTCAACCATTTTATTCTAATGCACCTTGAAAGTAAAGTAGTAAATTGATAAAAATAGAAGTAACATAGTGTGAGTGAAGTACTGTAAATATTTTGCAGTTGGTAACATATTTTTCATCAGAACCCCCATTTTATTTACTAACCTCCAATTTTGATGCATGGCCAATGTTTCCCTTGGGATCACGAAGCAAAGAACCATGTTTATTTTAACAGAATTATCAATTTTCTGACATGCTTTTTGTTTAACCCTATTGGAGGGAATGGTCTATTGTTTATTCTTACATTAAGAAAATGAAAAATCCATACTTCAAAAATGACAGAATAATTGCCTAAAGATTAAAGTAGGTGTTTGTTCCTGAACATTGATTTTGAAGATGATTTCAAGACTGCCCTCTGGCATTATTAGCTTGAAATGGTCTGGATCCAAGTTTCTTTGCCAGGCCTGTTCCCGTCGGTTTTAGATATGACACAATTTGCATGGTACTTTGCCACGATGGCAATCAAATCTCTTGCTGCCAGCTTAGCAATGATTTTCCTATCATTTAATAGAATGGCACTCTTCCTTACATTCTTATTGATCTCAATATTAGAGGCAGTAAGTGTATGTTCCGAGGCTCATCTTGGTTCTCACAGAAAAAGCAATGATGATCTGGGTTTAAAGCTGCCTGAATAGATTGTCTTGTTTTGACGAGACTAGAACAGAGCTCTTCTTGAAAACAATCATCTTTTTGAATTTCCACATCTTAAATTTCAAAAGTCTTTCTTTTTTCAAGCGTGCCTTATTGTTAGTTATACTTTGTTGGAATTTCATGCTTTCTGTGTAATGCGTTCTCAGAAATTGATTTCTGGCAAATAATGCAGCGTCCCCAGGGCATAGTTGATCGAAAATCCTTTTTTGAAAGAAAGATATTTATCTTTAAAGTATTTAAAGGTGGTTTTTGCTAAATTTGAGATGCCTTTTAATGCTCGAATTAAAGGTCAATTTTATGCTCAAAAGTACTTCTTACCTGAAGCAGCTGCCCAAGGATAGATTTTGATTTACAAAAGAAACAAGTTGACATCATTTTCTTGTTCGCACCAAATTTGACACGTCAGTCTTGTTTCAATACAGACATGCGCAGCTCTCGGATCTCGAAACAATACCGATTGGCACGATATCAGATAAATCTTCGAAGAAATTGTATCATTGTGCTGCAATCAATTGTCAGAATAATAATTTGGCTCACCCAGAGCTGAATTTCTTCGGGTTTCTGTTCGATCCTTCTCAGTAAGAAAGCAGCATACTCCTCCTTTCCTATGTTTATTAACCTGCTTATTTCTTGTATATCGATTTTTTTAAATAATTTTAAGCGAATTTCCCTTTATTGTGTCGTGATTTGTACTTTCTAAAATAAAAAGGAATTTGTTAAACTTTATTCAGTTGCAGAGAATGGCTTTAGAATTGTCGGCGAGCTGATTTAATGAAGAAAACTCCTGAGTACTTTAGTAAAAACTGCTCGCTTTGTTCCATTCATTTTGAGCCAGATCTCCTCCCCAATTTTACAAATCAGCAGAAAATTCGATGTACCAAACCCACCACCACTTCTCACTACCATGCAGAAAAGAACGGTACGATCGGATCCAGTTGACTGTGAGTATTACAATTTCTCATTTTGATCTAGTTATTACAATTCAATTGATGGCTTGTTCCCAAAGAGGGACACACTGAGTTCACTTTCCTAAGTTTCAGTTTTTTTTGGAGACTTTAAAGTTAATTGCTGTTAATATTATTGAAAAATTACAGTGACACCCCCTTGAAAAAATTACCTTGCAAAAGCGAGGAACCTTTTTGCCATCTGGGGTGGGGGGGGGGTGCTCAGTCAACAAATTTTAAAACTTGTCTGCAAATAAAGGATGGTTCACCCACCTTGTCCACAAATCGGACCTTGAAACCCCCCTGGAGCAAAAAAGCTAGTGATAAATAGAAACATTGTTTGAAAATATAGCTAATTAATGACTTTCCCTTAGGACTACAGACTCGGTAAGAAAGGAAGTCAGGTCTCAGCAGGTCCTGAAGGTGATTCATCTATTCCAGGTATTCTTCATTTTCTGAGTATTTGTTCTTTTTAAAATTGTAAACTAAAGCTTTGTATGGAAACCATCCAGTTTGTTATTGATTGTTTTCAATTTGTTTCCTAGTTGATGAGAAAGAAGCCAAAATAGAAGAAATTCCTCTTGAGTCTGATGCATGCATTGAAACAATTCAAGAAGAAAATTCATGTCAAACATCTGCTGACCAATCTTTGTACACACCAAGAAAGACAACCTAAGGAAATTGCTACAAAGAAAGAGGCGAAAGATCTATGTATTGAATAATTCTATTCAAAACAGTTCTACAACACCAAAGAAAATGACTAAGCTTTCAACGTTAATAAGGCATTTCAACTATTGGAAGGGGCAATCTCCCCTAACTTATTAGATTTTATTAAAAAACAGTTGAGTCTCTCTTTGAAAAAAAGAAAGGGAGACGATATGATGAAGCTTTCAAAGCCGGGGCTTCAACATTGTAACACATCAGTGGTAAGGCATACAAATTCTTTGCTAAGCTTTTTAATTTACTTTCAAAATCATCATTAACAAAACTTTTCTCTAGATTTGCTTCAGATTTTGGCTTTTCAGAAAATATCATTATATGTTCTCAGACAACGTGTTGAAGTTATATCTGACAATAATAGAATTTTCACTCTGGTCAAGGATGAAATGTCATTGAAGTTACATCACTTTAATAATGGAGCTCAGGACTCTATTTTTGGGTTTGAGACTCTTGGTGATGGCAAGACATCAAGTCTTGTTGCTAATTGCTCTTTAGTACGTATGGCCCGTGGTGTTCTTGAAAACTGTAAGCAGCCTGTGGCATATTACTTTGTGAATGAGGCTTGTAGCAGTGCCAAATTAGAGATTATGGTAGATGAGGCACTTGTGCGGTTAGAGACAACTGGTTTAAACGTTGTTGGTGTGGTAAGTGATCAGGGATCCAACATTTCAAGTTTCTATGACGCTATGGGAGTCACAGTAGATGGACCATATTTTGAAATGCATGGCAAACAGTAGTTTACCATTTTTGATCAACCACATTTGTTAAAGTCAATAAGGAACAGTTTATTGAAGTACAATTTTACTTTTGATGGAAAAACTGCTTCTTGGTCAGATGTTAAATCCTTCTATGAAAAAGAAAAGAAGCTTGCAATAAGAACTAGCCCTAAGTTGACAAAAAAGCATATCAATCCAGCACAATTTGCAAAAATGAAAGTATAGCTAGCAGCACAAGTATTCAGCAATTCAGTTTCTGCTGGGATATCTACAAATGTTCCACTTCAAGGATTGCCATCTACAGTTTTGAGTACTGCAGAGGTTCTTTCTAAATTTGATTCAATCTTTGGTTGTTGCAACTCATTAAGTTTCAGGGATAGTAAAATATCGATGGCCTTTAACTGCCTTCTCTCCCCACCTGAAAGAAATGGAAGATGGCATAATATTTGTACAGTCAAAAAAGTAGTTAATGGAGCAACAGGAGAAGACCATACAAATATATTAAGGGATTTAAAAGGCTGGTGCATTACATTGAAGGCAATTTCAAAGTTGTGGCATAAATTAATTGAAGAGCATGATGCCACCTTCCTGGTTACAAGACAGCTTAACCAATATCCCCTTGAAAGCTTTATTGGCAGCAAGAGGGGAATTCTGACAATCCAACCTCAAACCAATTTAAAAGTGCATATCGTAAGTTGCTCCACGCAAATCTTTTAACAGTCTCGGCTGCCAATTGTGAGCAAGATGAAAACGAACTCCTTGCACAGTTATCATATATAAGAGAGCTCCCAGAGGTTCCTGTTGTAGAAAAACTGCTTAAAATTATTTCCATTGACTACAGCAATGAGCAAGTTGAAAACAAAGTTTTCAAAGATAATGCTATGGCATATGTTGCTGGTTATTTGCTGTGCAAAACATACAGCAAGCACAAATGCGAAAAATGTTCTGTTCTCTCAAATAACAATGAAAGCCAGAAGGTATTTCTGATGCTTAAGGCTTATGAGTCTAGCAGTTAGTCCAGTCGTCTTAGTAAAAACATAGGGTGAACCCAGAACAAAATAGTATAAAGCTGAAATTTTGTCAGTTGATGCAGGAAGGTAACAATAGCTACCAAAAAGTCCCTGTGAATCCCCGCCCAGGAAATGGGGTTTTGGGTGCAAAATTCATAATGGCAGTAGCCCCAATCGACTAAAATTGTGATTTCGCCAAAACGAAATATGTTGTAGCTAATCTGAAAGAGAATTTAACGCTGATTTCAATTGCATTAGGGTAGTACCCCTGAAATATATAGTTTTTGAGCATTCATTGAAAATGATAACATTGAGCCCAACAAAGTTTGGGGAATTAACAAAAATAACAAACAAAGTCAATATCCAAAATTCTTCAATAATGTTCTTTTCTCGTCGCTCTCCTTGACTTATAATTCAAAACTTTCTTACAAAATTAGATATAACACGTGGTAATGCAATGAAATTTTGAGACAGGGTACATATTCAAGGTTGAGAGCGTGATACAATTGCAAGTGGCAGGGTTAATTAAATGGGATGGTATTGTTAAGGAGATCAACTACTGCCCATCATGACTGATAGGGATATGGCCCCTGAAAATCTTTTGAAAGTAGTAAGATGCAACTACAAAGCAACCTCTAAAAATCAATGCACGAAAAACTTATGTAGCTGCCGAAAGCATGGAATTAAGTGTGTAGCAACATGTGGAGAATGCTTTGATGAAAGCTGTGGAAATATAGAGGTAAGATCATTCTTTTCTTATCTAAGCTGGTTATTCTGAAAGCAGTATATTTTATGTAAAATGACTGAGAGGATTGAAGTTTTCGAAATACTACCTGTTATGCTGAAAATCAACCTTCTACCTTTTATGCTGAAGAAATTCTGTCCTGAAAGCCCTTTTTTTCGATTTTCGGACCATGTTCAAAAATTTGTGGGTTCATTGCTCTCTGCCCCACATCCCAAGGTACTTTATCCATAAATAATCAGCTTAATAATTGGTGCATATTATCTTGGTCATAATCTTCAGTATAAGACAGAATGACATTAGTTATTGTTTTCTTTAACTAAAAAAGAGAGTATTATGTACTATATTGACATATTCACATCTTTTTCTTTGATACAGTTCAATGCGCAGCTCAGATACTGCAAACCATGTAAACACTGCCATCAAAGCCAAGCGATTACATAGTCAAGAGAGAAACAGAAGCAACATTCTCGCAGATGACATTAGCACATATTCCAAGCTCAACACCTTCTTAATGAATTTTCTTAACGTTTTGCCCATGAGAATTGTGTACCTTTGAATGAAACGGCTTTTATCCCTGCAATTATGAGTAAGCAATACAGACAGCCTGTTATTATTGGTGAAAAGCACACGCGTGAAACTCCAAACTTTTTGCAGATGGGGACAAAGAGTTTAATGATTTGTATCTGAGAAATCTTTCTTCAAACTAACTCACTCAAACATTCAGCACCATGACAATGACAGAATTCAAAGAATGGACCAACCTTGGAAATACAGATTTCCTAATGTCTTGTAATCATTTTGTAAAGCTTTACCAGACCCATCATCAGTTTCTTGCGAAGCTCATAGTTGAGAATTTGAATGGAAACACTGCCATTCATTGAATTCAATCTTGAAAAATTAAGGAAACATATCAGCATGATTATAGGTATTTTAATAAAACAATGGAAGAAGCATGTGATAGATTTTACAACTACTTCCCCTTTTTGAAGGGATCGGTACTTTATCCAACAATGATCGAAGGTAAAAAGGTTCCGTGATGATCTGGAGGTCATCTCTGTCTAACCAGCCTTTCTCTGTTTATTTCTGTTGCATCGTGGTTTTCTGTGGTTTTGCTTTCCACTGACTCATCTATAGTCTGGCTGGATTAGATGAAAATTATGGTTAACCTAGAATTAAATGCTACATTAGCAAACTTTATACCATTCGAATCGAAATTCAATGAAGAATAAGATATTGAGAGCCTCATACTGAGGTCTTTCGGCAAAAGAAGTTATAACCGCTAGTTTGGAAGGGGGTTTTGTCAACAATTTGTGTGACTTTTGATATTTAGCTGCAAACCCTTCTGTTGAAAAGACATTGTAGACCTTAAACTGCATATTGTTAACGTTTCAAACTTTGCACCAATACTTTGAAATATGTCACGTTTAATCCGATAAAGTTTAAAAATAACATGATGATGTCATCAGTGATGTCACCACTATCGAACATATCAGGTTTATATTAATGAAAAGAAGAAATCATGAAGCTAAGGTTTTCAACGCTGGAAATGTAGCCTAATAAGTAGCTACTGATTAAAAATATCATAAAATTTCAAAGATGTATGTGGCATCATCATTTTCATGATCTTCCAACTCGGATATGGGTTTTGCTGAATTTTCACAACCTCCACTGTGTCAGGCCGTTCCTCCGGCAAGAGCACGAAAGGGTTCCACATGGATGCTTCATGTTCGTTTTTTATCTGCAACGAACAACCTGAAGCAGCCATTCTGGAGCAGGATCAAGGTTGGTTTTGATTGGTGTCATAATATCGTCTTCCATTTTCCATCCCCAGTCTTGTGGGTTTAGACAGCAAAGGTCTAAATGCTTCCACTACACTACCTAGAAGTTCAAACAATTTTTGGGAATTGATTTCATATTGTGAATAAAATACAGAAGCTAATATGTCATTTTCCTACTTAAACTAACTATAAATTAGAAAAGGAATAAAAACAGTGTTGGTTATATCGTCCACATCAGTCATAATTTAATTAAATAGAGAAAAAACGTCATAAACCTGAAGATGCACTCGTAAAGCATGGTAGTATGTCGCTTTTTCAGTTGGAGGAAGATTATCTGGTTCTACTACAT